CTGTCGGGTCAAAGGTCGTTCTGTTATTGCCAGTGTCGTTGTTATTTATCTATTTACAATTGATAGCATTACTGTATGTCTTTCATATATATTGTTGTCGCTGTTGTCATATCATTGTGTTGCCAATCTTATTATGATTATTGTTAATATTTTGTTGATTTTATCATTACTCATGTTATTTTTATTTTTTCTGAGAAAATTATGAGATAAAGACACGATACAGATCTACAATGCGACATTTCAATCGCTTACATATTCCATCTCTTACTGGAACATAATCGTTTTCATTCAAAGTCAGAAAAAAGTTATACTCGCGGTCACTCAAGTTTCCTTTGATGTGACGTCATTCGGAAAAAAATATACCGTTATTCCTAGATTGCGTCCGGCCGGGATAATAACAAACGAAAAACACTGATCATTTTTTTGTGTTTTTATTTCCTCCTATTCTGATGTGGTTGAGGTTGACATGGCGTTGAAATCAATATTCTATTTTGGGAGACCGTTTTTTTTTTTCTTTTTTCCGAATGACAGGTGCAGAAATCAACCTTTTTTTTCTCTTTTACCTTTGGGCTGAAAACCTTAAACCATTTATTTCGATTTACGCTCTTTCTTTCCTTATCACTTTATTTCATTTGATAGAATTAACTCAGCAATAAAATTTCCTATAACGTGTCATTCAATCCCTCACCCAATTTATATTTGGACGATGAAAAGAAGCCAAAAAAAAGAAAGTAAAATGAAAGAGCTCAAGAGTCAGCAACACGGAACATGTCAAATACTCTCGCGAGGAATAAAAATCTTTTCTCTCTCTTTCTCCTTTCTCTCTCTCTCTCTCTCTCTCTCTCTCTCTCTCTCTCTCTCTCTCTCTCTCTCTCTCTCTCTCTCTCTCTCTCTCTCTCTCTCTCTCTCTCTCTCTCTCTCTCTCTCTCTCTCTCTCTCTCTCTCTCTGGAATCCCGGCGCTTTCCCCTTGAAACCTCCTCCTTCACGTAAAGAGGAGACTTTCCCCTCAGGTAAATATGTTCCAAGATATGAGGCTTTTCTTTTGGTAATTATCGTACTCTCGGCTTACTGCAGCCAGCGTCACTTTCTTTGCTGTTGTCGCTGTCGTACTTTGCTTCTTGTATTATCGTACGTTTTTTCCTCGCCTCTAGATTTATATTTCGTTATATTATTCATTTTTATTGTAACGAGAAACGGTCTGACAGCACCAGTCAACAGGACAGCAACAACTGACAGCAAGAGTATCAGATTCACTGCAATAATACATTCTACAGTAATATAAACAGAAATAATTAACGTTTGAAGTTTATTTTATGAACTCATGGTTGTAACAAACAACAAAATAATACCAACACAAGGATAATTGAATCGATAATTTAATTTATGAAAAATATGACGATGGTGATGATAATGACAATGACAATGACAGTTATTTTTTTTATATAATAATAATGAAAACACACAGAAGCATCCAGTTATTTCTCCGCCCAAACACAATCTAATTTGGCGCGTCAAATGACATTTCAAGTTAAACGACTCAAAAGACTTTTTCTTAGCTAGACAGATTTTTTTTTCTTTTCTTGGCCAGTACAGGAAGCAAAATTTTCATTCTCTTTACTTTATATCACCATCATTATTATCAAACTAATGTTTTTAGAATTATGTCATTAATTCTAATGATAATACTATCAGCATTACTATTGTTGTTATTTTTCTTATATCATGATCAATACTGGTATTTATAAAACAAATGATAATGAAAATAACAATAATAATCATAATGATGATTATAATAATAACAAAGATAATAATAGTGATAATAATAATACAATAATAATGATAATATTAATGATGATAGTAATGATAATAATATTAAGAAGAAGAAGTGGAAAAGCTATAGTAATAATAAAAATGATAATAATGAAAATAGTAATAGTAATAATAATAATAATAATAATAATAATAATGATAACAACAACAACAAAACAACAACAATAACATTAATGATAATAATGATAGTAATACTAATGATAATGATGATGATGATATTTATGATAATGATAATTATAATAGTAGTGATAAAAATAGTAATGATGATTATAGTAATAATAATGATAACTCCAAAAATAACTAACAGTAATAATGATAGTGTTGATAACAATGATAAAAATAATGATGACGATAATACTAACAAAAAGAAGAACAAAATGAGCGGAAACAATAATAACAATTATCATCATCAACATCATCATTTTCATTGTTATCACCAGTATCATAATCATTAGTATTTTACTACTGTTTTATCCCCCTTAACTACCGGTAATAATGCTAAGGGGACTGTTAGAGCGGCAACTAGTCATATCCTCATCACCACTGTTATCTTCATTTGTTTTATCATTATACCATCATCATTATTTTGCGTCATTACAGGTCCGATTCTACCATGCATTACGTCAATCGAAAGCTCAAAGATTTGATAATTAGCTACTGAAATATGTACGAAAATTTCGAAGACAGATGATAACAGTTTTATACCATTCCCTTTAAATCCCAGAAATGTCCAGGTAGTCAACGTTGTTATACAAAAGAATAACCAAATGCAAGGATATACTACGTAAGTGTTATATAGATATCCAGATCGTATTAAAGTAATCTACAGGTCTTTCGAAAGGTTTAACATGAAAACTGTTCCTTGGCCACGAGCGCACCTGCCAACGTAGCACTTTTTAGTCAAACTTTTCTCTTGTCATCGGTTTTAATACTCTTTAACTTACATAACGCAAGCAGAGACCCATCAGCGTGCTGTTCAGAGATCCTCTCCAACATTCTAAGATGTAAATGAAGTACCCCGGACTACTTGAATACTCGTTTCTTTTAGGAAGTTTATGCTTTTTTGTGTTCATATCGTAAAACATTTACAATTGGTTGGTGTTCCCGCGCAGTTGTGGTCTACATTGTGTTGGATTATATTTTCGTTATAAGTATGGAATATCACTTTATCCTTTATTTTTGGATGGCGTGTCAAGTCTTGTCGTTTCATCCGTCCCTGACCAAGTTCTAAGATATTTAATAAGAAAATCATAATAATCACTTAGTTCTGTGTGGCTATTACTTGGTGGCCTGAAAGATATCTATCACATGACACTCGATTTACAGTGTACAAATGAGTATTTATATTAATCATTGCCCTGTTCATTAAACTATCTACCTTTATATATCGGTGTTGGTGAATACACGTGGTCACTAAATTGGCTCTTAATGCTATTTACATTCCAAAATGTGATCCTAAGTATTCTCAAAGCTATTCATAAAATTTCGTTGCATCCATTATAAAATGTGGCAAGGTAGAACCGCAGACTTCCAAAGTCCTATCACTTTTCCTTTTTTATTTTGTAAAGTACGCTATTTACCATAAATACTTAATCACACTCGCACAAAGAAACGATCAGTAATAACCATACCCAAAAAACACTCCCAATCCACTAAAGTCAAGAAAACAAACAAAAAAAACTAAAACAAAATCACATACTCAAACAAAAATTGCGAAAAAGTCACTCGAAAAAAATAAATAGTAAAATACACACCGAGAAAAGTAGCTGCATTGCGAGAGCTTACGTCTCTTGAGAAGTATTATGGTTTTGGAAAAGGACTTCGACCGGGAGGAGGAAGAGGAAGAGGAAGAGAGGAAGAAGTGGAGGAGGGTGAAAGAGAAATAAGGAGGGGGAGACAGAGGAGGAGAAGGAGGCGAAATTAGGGAGATAAAAAGGCGGTAAGATGAGAAGGAGGAGGGGCAAGGCGAAGAGGAGAAGAAGTGGAATGAGAGGAGGAGAGAAGCAAAAAGAACGAGAATAAGGAGAAAGAGTAGAAGATGAGGAAGAGGTAGAAAAAAATACAAAGTAAAATGGGTAAACAGAGAAGGAGAAGGGAAAGAGAAAGGTAAAAAAGAAGAAGACAGACAATGAAGAGGAGGGGACGAAGAAGTCGTAAAGTGGATGAAAAGAGACACAGAAAGAAGAACGAGGAAGGGATGAGGAAGGAGAGAAAGGGCAGATAAAGTGAAAAGAGAAACACAAGCGCAGACCAAGGAGAAGGGGGAAGAGAGGAAAAGCTAAAAAGAAAACTAAACAGAAATAGAACGAGGAAACAGACAAGAAGGAGGAGGAAGAAGATAGGGTGAAAGAGGCCGAAAAAGAGATGAAAAAGAAACGGAAAAATAAAACTAGCAAAGAGAAAGAGGAGGAAGAAGGGGGGAAAATAAAAGGTGAAAAAAGAGAAGGAAAATAAATTTAGGGAGAGAAAAAGGAAGGAGAAAACAGCAAGGAAATAGAAATACCATAAATACGAATCTAGAACAAGAGAGCCATGAGAGATGAACGGTGGAAATAAAAAGGAAGAGATAAAAAGAGGGGAAAAAAGGTTAAAAAAGATGCGAGAACGGGGGGGAGGGAGAAAGCGGAGAGGGTACGAGCCTATTTCTGTTTCTGTAAATCTTGAGAGGAATAAAATATGCGATTCAGTAAAGTCCGCTTGTGATTTTGTTCGATTCTTTACCATCCGAAAGAAAACATTTTTAAATATCGCGTCCATGAATAAAGAGAGGGTTATTTTGCCTTTGAAACGTACATAGGCATAGGCAGATATACACCGATATATACACGCAAGGAGACAGGCACAAACATACGTATGTCTATACAATTTGATCATGTGTGTGTGTGTATACAAATATATATATATATATATATATATATATATATATATATATATATATATATATATATATATATATATATATATATATATATATATATATATATATATATATATACATGGTTGCACAGACAAACTTACAGACACAAAACACACACAAAAAAAACTGACAAGCTAACTAACTAACTAACAACAAAAGCACACATATACAACACAAACAAATACAAACAAACACACACACGGCATGTATGCGTGGGAGTAAGGGTCCCTTGAGCCGTGGTTATGAGCGCGA